GGAAGACAAACGCTGCCTTTGGTCAGAGTTTCTAGGCTCCAGGCCAGATTTGGGGAATACCTCTCTTCTGCCTTCCTAGGAACTGAAGGGAGAAAGCAGCACAGGATCTGGTTGCCAAGAATAAAAATAAATTTCAATATCCTTATGGGCAGATGTGTCCCCGGTTTGCTGATCCTACAGCTTTCCTGAGAGGGGGTTCTGCCAGCGCTTGCTCTGCCCTTGCTGATTGTTGAGCAAACACACACAGGCTGTACGTGCTGACTCATGCCCCCGTTAATAGGAAGCCAGGCATACCCTGAAACATTGACTGGAGGGCAAACCTCTGAGGCGCAGATGGCGAGGGCCAGTGGCTGGGCTCCCCTCCTCAGGACCAGACACTGCCCTCAACTGTATTAAGTGGGGACAGCTGGGGACAAAAAAAAATCATGGTAATTGGGCCAAGTGTCAAGAATCAAAGCTGCAAACCCATTCCAGTGCTCTCTGAATCCAGCTCGCCTCGCACGCAGTTTCTGGTGTTATTGCCCACAGCCCTTTGAAAAGGCAAACGAAGGCCCAGGAGCATGGTTGAATTATTGTGTCATGGTCTCCCTGGAGAGTTGGTGATAAACTCAGGTGGTGGTCAGCGGAATTCCCCAGTGAACCACAATGAGAGGAGACAAAGGAATGGGCTCTTTCTTTAAAATTTACTACCATATTCTGAAATAGCAAGTGGGAACCCTGCGAGGGTCCCGTGAGGACGCCTCTGGCCTAGGTGTGAGGTTTTCTTTCCCCCTGAACGGCAGCCTTCAGAACATGGGAATTTCATTACCCTGGGACCTTTAAAAACACTGAGTAGACTAGTTTACATCTTCCGCGATACCATCCACATGTTCCTGACCTCGGAAGCTATGCAGAGCTGTGGCCGGCTAAAGCTCAGATGGAAGAAATAACAGCTTAGGAGGAACGTCTGCTTGAAGGACCACAGAGTCTGATGGTCAAAGTGTCCTGTTCTCATGAGCAACTGAACACCAGTTGAGCTTCTGGAGGTGCCTCTAACCCAGTGTAGAAGGCAAAGGACTCCAAACCCAACCAGTGTGCTCCCAGATTGGGACCCGTGGATTCTGTTACCTCCATGTAATCACGTGAGTCATGCTGAGTCACTTCCTGTATTTGGTTTTCAGAGTCTCCCTCTCTAAAACGGAGCTGTTTCTGGCTAACGCTGAACGGAGTGGGGGATCACTCTCTCGAGCAGACACTGGCAGCATATCCTGCGTTGCCACTCATTTGCTGAGATGTTTGGTCCTGGTTGATTTACCAAACCTTTCCAGTACACAACCTCCAATCTATTGCATGGCTCCAGTAAGGGCTGAATGATGGGATCCACCCAGTGACGGAGCTTGGTGGCTTTTATTTTTACGTTCTTAAAGTCACAAAGAGAGGAAGAACTGTGGGGTCCCCTTGCCCACGAGCTCTGTACCCATGGGAATATTAACTGGGCATCAGGTTCTTCATCTGCAAATGGCAACAAACTACGTGCCGTATGGCAATGGTAGGGTTTTAAAATGGAGTAATATTAAATGGGGAGAAGAGGCATTTGTTAAAGTACATTTACTCCAGCTGTTGACTTCCTTCTGTCCTCTTTCTCCCATAGATGGACAGGCAAGTGTTTCCTTTAAGTACTAGGAGCCTCGGAGAGTGCCAAAATGACCAAACCAGGCATCAGAGAGAGGCAGCAGAGGACAGGGTAGACCTTCCCCTGGCAAAGAGATCCTGGGCACCCAGTGTCCATTCTACTTCCCCAGGTGGAGAAGGTGGGGCTTCTGGAGACGCCGCTGGGTTCAGGTTCCCCGGCACACCATTCTGAGCATCAGGTATGACAGTTCATCCAACCTGCCTGTGGGTCCCCGCCTGGCCTGTAACTCAGAATAATAGGTGGATCTCCAGAGGGCAGTTACAGGGGGCCCTGGGAAGTTCAACAGCCAGTGACATCTCTCCTTCCTCGCCCAGGCACACACCCTCTCAAGACTGCTTCTGAGCACTTAGTCATCTCCCAGGGGATTGTGGGTAGGATGCCACCATGCCTTTCTTTCCTGAGCCTTGGGGAATGGTTGCTCTGTTTGCAGCCTCTGCACATGGCTATCTTAGAGCAATCACCACGGCCTTCAAGGCTACCTGATGCTTCATCTTGTCTGCCAACCTTACACATCACCCGCTCATTCTACCAGGTGCCTTCTCAGGACCATGTGCCCGCTCGGTAGTTCCAAGCCTGCACGTCAATGTCAGCTACATTTCGCCTTCCAGGTTATCTTCTTAAAGGAGCCTGGACCACTGCCTCCCCCTTCACTATTCTCCCAAGGCATATGCTATTTCTTCATACCGTTTGCTACAATTTAACTTCATATATTAGTTTTTTTTCTGGGTCTTTTCCATAGATTTTCTGTCCTCTGTTGTTGGGACAAGGTCACTTTCTGCTTCGCTTGGAACTGTATAGTCAGTATCTACAATAGGAGATTTTTTTCAATTAGCATTTTCGTTTCTTTCTTTCTTTCTTTCTTTCTTTCTTTCTTTTTATTTATTTATTTTGGTGGGGGACATGCTGGGAACAGAACCCAGGGCTTCACAAATGCCAGGCAAGCAGCTGTGAGTTCCCCACCTCTCCGGCCTCTCAGTGAGCATTTGATTGATGACTCAGTATTAGCCCTTGCACTTTTATTTGGGGCTCAAAAATGCAGAAATCTGTGTGATCTGTTTGAGTCATCAGAAGCTGCTCTGCTATCTCATTTTAGATCATTGAGTCTGGTCCTATTTTATCTCAAGAAGATAGCCAGTCACAGGCTAATGATGGGAACGAGCGGGAGTGGGTGCCTTGGGCTGATACTGGAAAGAGAACAGAACCCACCTCTTAAAAGCAGCCAGCCAGCCCATGCCATAATTACTTCTGTCTGACTTGAGAAGGATGAGCCCTGCCATGCTCGTCTCTTTCTCTGTCCAAGCAAACCAGTTAACAGCAGCCATAAACATGGGTTTCCAGTCCTGGGAGGATCAAAACTGATGTAATTCCCAGATAAATGCTCACAAGAAAGCCGCCATTCAGTTAAAGTTTGAAGCCTGAAGTCTGCAATGGGGACACTGTCCTGACAGAACTTGTACCACACCCTTGGATCTATTTCAGTTTGAGGCTGGGGGTGGTTTTACAAACACCCTGGCTCACACTGAGCTCGGGTGAGTTATTGCTAATGCTGAAACATACAAGGCCAATACTGATTCACACAGATAGAAGTGCCAATAATTTGTGTAAGAATTGACTCTTGAAGAGCCCTGGGCATGTGGTTCCTGAGAGCTTGAACAGGAAAAGGAATCCCACCCTGTCCAGAAGCTGTCCTGGGGAGGGTCTCTGATTGGGCCACTGTCTCTGGTGTGCCTATGTAAATGGACAGAGAAGAGCTCAACGACCCCAGCACAAAGACCTGATATGGCAATGAGGATGCTAGTTACCCTGGCTTGACCAGAGCATGTTGTATAAATGTATTGTGACACCACACTGTCTACCATTGTGTCTGTACTGAGACATCACATGTCTACAGTTGTGTGTTCTGAGACCACATATCTATAGTTGTGTGTCTGTATTGAGAATCACACATCTACAGCCACCCCACACAGAGTGTATCTCATCTCCTATGATCTCAGAAAGCTAAGCAGGGTTGGGCTTGGTTAGAACTCAGAAAATAGATGGGGCCATCTTATATTAGACCCCAGAAATTTACAATTATTACATCTAATTTAGAATAAAATAAAAACTAGTGTTTCAGTGACACCACCCACTGCCTGCAGGTGCAGTTAAAACCCTTCGAAGCTTATGCAGATTTGATCCAGGCCAATGTGCTGGCTATGTTCCCTCCCCTCCGAAATCACCAGCAATCAGAGCTGTCCTTGTCACCCCTGGATAGGCTCCACTCTCCCCCGAAGGAAGGTGAACTCAAGCTCCTTCTCCGCTGTGCCTCCCACCTCCTTAAAGGTCTTTCAGTAGCAATTCAGGTCAGCCCACCTTGTGAAGTGACCCTTCCCTGCACAGCTACAGGTCAAGGTCAGCCCGAACCCACTGTTAGTGCTCCACAGAACTAGGCTGCTGCTCCATGTGGGGTTTTAGTCTTATGTTCCCGAGTACGCCACAGTGACCCAGAAGTTTCTGCGCATGTGTGCAGAGCTGATAAACAGTGAGGAGGAACTGGTTTGGATTCCACCATGGGGGTTCTCTGGGGACAGAGCTCGGGTAGTCAGGTTTGGTGGCTAGAGTCTTTACCTACCGAGCCATCCACTGACCCATCCAAACATGCAGGAAGTCCCTTCCTTGTGGACTAATCACTGGGCCTGACATCCTCCATTTTCCCGATTCTTTCTACTTTTTCAGTAGAGTAAGTCTGTACATATTTAAGACAAGCATTCCCAGCCTGAAGTGAGACTCTTTTTCATAATCCTCGAAACTTCTGCTTACAGACATCAGTGTTCTAAAAGTATTCCTGGGCACGGGCTTCGGGATCTACCTTGGCTGACTACCATGGAGTGGTGTGGGAATGATCTCAGAGCTGACTGGAACTGTGCGTGAAACTCTTACCTGATTTTTACTTTGTCATTATTTAATTTGTAATTTATGGGTTAAATGCTTTTTTACAAAAAAAAGGTGTCATATCACTGCGAGCAGCTATGTTTAGTCATGGCTGGGTAGGCTGCAGGTCAGTCTAGCTCCGACTCGGAGAACAGAGGCTGCCTGTGGTTTGGCTTGCAACCAGGGCAGGGTCCTCCTCAACTTGTAGGATGGAGTTGGCACAAGAGAAAGAAAAGAAACGTGATTGAAAGGCTGAAGGCAGATCTAGTCATACATAGTAGATGAAAAGACCTATAAAGGAATGTTCTCTCAAGCAGAAAAACAACAGAGCGTGCATGACAGGGGAGGGCGGGTTTCAGGGAGAGAGAGAGATCATCCTTCACAGCCAGTCAACCCTCCAGAAGAAGCGTGTACTCACTGAGTGGATTATGCCTTGAAGGGCCTGGAAGCCGTCATTCACAGGAAACACATGGTCCTTACTGTCTGCAATCCGAGCCAACTGAGAACAGGCAGACAAACAAGTGCAGAGACGTTAGGCATGGATGTGGAAGGATCGGGAAAGCTACCATGGACTGCAGGGGCTTGGGGCACCCATGAGCAGAACCCAGAGGAACCTGGAGCTTCACCAGGCTCAGGGCCTCACTGAGGGGCCCTCAGCAATAATGCGCTAACCAGGGACCCCCTGGAGCAGGCTGAGGATTGCACCAGCTTTTGTTTGAATTTTGTTTGAGATTTGTTTGAATCTCTTCCTTCTTGGGAGCAGAGGAAGACTGCCCAGTTGGATGAACACATGACTTAGGGTGATATATTTTCGATTTGAGGACAATGTCTTGTTTTTCACCCAAATAGCTGCTGGTAATTTTATTCAAATCAGACAACTTCAGAACCATGTTTAGGCATTCTCGTAGAACCAGGCTGATGAAAGGGGTTTCACCTTTCACCCCAAATGCCATGGGGGTCAGACCCATTGCTTCCTTCTGCTGTGTGAATCAGGATAAGGAGCAGCTGACCAGGGACCCTCAACATTCAGAGTCTTGGGACTGCCACAGAGAACATGCCAACTTTAAAATTCTTTTTCATTGTTTTTTACTGATTGCAAGAGCAACATTTTTATTACTTTAAAAACTTGGGAAAATTTAAAAATTAAACTGGAAGGAAAACAAGGTCTATTCATAATGGATCTTCCCTCTATATTTGCAGCTTGGCATGTAGACTTGTCATAGTCTTAATGCAGACACATGTGTACTTTTTCTAAGAGGATCTCAGTGCTTTGCAATCCTGTTTATTTACTCCGTAAGTTACTGAGAACCCTGTAACAAAAACAACCCTGAGCCACATGGAAGAGCTCTCACTGAGGATGTTAGCATTTAGGTTTCTACTTCTGGGCACGCTCAAACTATTCCTACATTCCTGTATAGAGAATGCATTACATTTTAATAAGCAAAAAAAAAAAATCTGTCACTTGAAAAAGAAAATTGTATTTGTCAAATTAAGAAATTTAGAAGGTTTTCTAAGCTAATTGAGACCTGTGTTGAGACCTTGCTGACTTAATGTCACCTAGAAAATTAAACAAAGGAGATGTGCCCTGGGTGGTCTTATGCTGAGACCCCAGAAACTTCAAAAGATGATGTCAAACTCTTCACACAGCCAAAACGTTCTTCTTGCCTAGCTTCCCAGAGAAACATCCTATTTACGGGTATATATTCCACAGATGCCCCCACTACGCTGAATGAACTTGCTGTCCATCACTCCTGAGCTCAGCACATTTCCAAACAGGGGGAGAGCCAGGCTCATACCTGAGTTTCATTGAAATCCTTCACACCAACACAGTAAACAATTGCACCAAGGTCCCGGGATCTGTTAGCCTGTGTGAGGAGACAAAGGGGATTAAAGGGAGATGTAGGGGCAAGTGTCGCTCTCTTGAGTTCAAGACGGCTACCATCAATGATGGGATTCCCGAGCACCGACTCTGCGGCAGGTGACGCAGTGAAGGAGCAATCTAGACCCCAGGGAGCTCACACTCTAGTGACCACAAAGGCTCATGAGGATCAGAGAACAGTGGTTAGCGTCGGGGGCAGCCGTCAGTGACAGCTCTGGAAGGATGTGGGACACACAGCACATCCAGGAAATGGTCCGCCTTTGCTATTCCTGAAGTAGGTTTGTTGGCATACTTTCTTCCTTGGGGCATGACAGCCCAGTCTTACAAAGGAATGTGGCCTTTGGCACGAGGCTCCTTATGCGGATGCTTGGCTTCACTCTGTAAAGTGTCTGGGAAATTAACTGTGGCCATCGTGCAGAGCTCACTGGTCCTGGGATGTCTCTATAGTCAGCATCTTTTATGAACTAGAAGACTTTATCTCACTGCCACAGAGCAAAGCGCCTTGATGGTAGGTCCGTATCTGAATAGGTAGCCAGGACCCTTGCCACACTGAGAAGTCAGCCTACTGAAAAATATCCAGGTTTTGGCTTAGTGTTATAGTTAATATATTAAAGGTATTTTGATTTGCTTTGATATTTGTTTTCCATATTTCCTGGGTTTCAGGCTAGAACACAGAAACTCCTCAACACATGGAGCAGATGCTCAATAAATATGAACAATAAGCATACAGTACCCAATACACGCATACTGATTTGACTGTAACTTCTCCCCTTATGAGATGCCAACCCACCTGCTTCTCACACTGACTTCTAGAGGGGACAGTGCATGACTTTCCTTCTCTATGTTGGGAACATTTCCTGCTGTACTCAGAATGAAATGAACCCCCTGAGACACAGGCTAGCCCTCGCCTCTCTCTATCAATCCAGGACTCCTCTCCTCTCTCTGGGCTTTCTGGGGAGTTCTGCAGAAGGGAGGATTCATGCACTGTATCTTCCCTGGGAACGCTTTCTTGTGCTGGCATCAGGATGCTGAGCACTTTCCAAGTCTGTATGCGCCATACCTAAAATTGCTTCCAGCTAACGTCTGCCTCGAGCCTCTCACACTCATCTTTTGCTTTATTCCAGTTCTTTCCTTATTAGGGGTTTTATTTTATGTGGCGGTTATATAGTGTCTAAATAAGCCATTTTGCATTCCGTCACATAGTTAAGTTTAGAACACAGAAATGTACTACTCCCCAGATGCTCGGGGCATCTGTCATGTTAGCTTGTGTTTCCCATGCCAGGCATGTGCTCCTGGGAGAAGGAAGAAAGGAAAGCATTTCATGGAAGAGCCCAGCAACTGTGCCTCACTCTCTTGTGTGTCTCTAGAGCGTAGCCAAGTCCAGACTCAGCATGAACAAACACACTACTTCACACTTGGGGATGGAGTTCAGTTTAAGCTAAACAGAGGTCAGAAGACCCAGGGACTGCAATGCTGCCATTGATGTCTCCCCCCCCCCCCGCCCCCTTTGTATCTTTTCCCTTCTGTGTGCATTTCCTCCTGGGCCTGAGTGAATCTGTGGGCTCATCCACCGGGACATAGGTCACCAACCAGTGACCACACCTCTGAAGAAAAATAACTTTTTCTCCAAACAGCCATCAACACCAATATCTCCTCAGCTAGGGAGTGAGGCCTTGAGAGTTCATCCTCTTGGGGAATAATTTTTGAAAGCTTAAGGAAAAAGAAAAGAGGGCCATAAAGATGGCTCACCAGTGTGCAAGGCTCTTCCAAAGGACCCCAAACTGATTCTCAGCACCCACATCAGACAACTCACAACCAACTCCAGCTCCACAGGGATTCAACACCTCTGGCACCCACACTCACACGGTTGTTCACAACCATTCATAACTCCAATGCTGGGATCTGGCACCCTCTTCAGACTTCCACAGGCACAAGACACACACACACAGTGCAATACATACATGCAGGCAAAATCCTCATACACAGAAAATGAAATTTTTAAGCCTTTTAATGATACAGTGAAGACAAATCTTAGAAAAGGGAGGGAAGGAGAAAAACAGGAGATGGCAAAGAGTGTCCCACCCCTCTGCTCAGCTTCGCTTCCTGAATCGGTTTTGTTGTTGTTGCTGTTGTTTGTTTTGTTTGTTTTTAGAGACAAGGTTTCTCTGTGTAACCCTGACTGTCCTGGAACTTGTTCTACAATCAGGCTGGCCTCGAACTCACAGAGCTCCGCCTGCTTCTGCCTCCCAGGCATGTACCGCCACCACCGCCTGGACTGAGAATCTGACTGTCACCCTGGTGACCTGGTTCTTATGTACCTCAAGAAGCTCTTTCTCCATTTCAGTAGAAAATCTGAGGGGAAAGAAAGAAAACTGGTACTAACACTTTCTGTTTAAAACTCTTGTGTGACCCTTTGTAAGCTGCTAAAGTAATACATTACCTTCAGTAAAGGCACAATAGACTTTTTTTGAAAGGAGAAAAGTGTTTATCAAGTGTGAGACGTGAAAATTCACATAAAAATGAAGTGTTATGATTATTTTTACACTCGAGACAGTCCCATTCCGGTTTTACCAAGAACGACTGTTGTTTTGTCTGAATACAGAGGAAGACCTGGTCTCTCCACACATGCCAGGCACACACTACACACTCTAGCTCTGAGCTGCATGCCTGCTTCCGTTTCCACACTGAGACACAGCGGCTGCTACTCACCTCCCGCTCTGAGTAGAAGAAGAGATCTTCATGCAGCTCCCCGTCCGTCAGTGCGATGATGACACTTGCTGTCCTGTATCCTGCTCAGAAACAGCAGAGACCTTGTTTATCCTGGACCCCAGGACACCCCACAGAGACCTTTCGCTTATCCTGTACCCCCAGGACACCCTATAGAGACCTCTTGCTTACCCTGTACCCCCAGGACACCCCACAGAGATCCCTCGCTTACCCTGTACCCCCAGGGCACCCCGCAGAGACCCCCTCACTTATCCTGTACCCCAGGACACCCCCACAGAGACCCCACACTTATCCTGTACCTCAGAACACCCCCACAGAGACCTCTCGCTTATTCTGTATCCCCAAAATACCCCCACAGAGACCCTCTTACTTGTCCTGTACCCCCAGGACACACCCACACATCCCTGAGATTTTATCTCTTTTTAAGTTCAGTCACTGAAAATGAACACGATGAAAATCGTCAGTCTTGTATTGGGGTGTGGGGCAACTCTAACATGAGCTTTTTATGGTCAGACTTCTGGATTTCTCGGTCTCATCTCAACATATAGGCTGACCAGGTGACATGGCTCTGAAACACTCAGTCACTGCCAACAGCTCCTGTGGCCAAAGGTCACCAGGCCTGGGGCAAATTCCACACTTGGACTGTAGTGGCCCTTCTTGAATGCCATAGCCGACCACATACACCACACTTGCCAAAACATAATATTTATCAGAATTTGCAAGCTGACCAGAAGTATTACAGCTGTTGGCAAAATTCTACTGGAATTCTTCCAATGTTATTTAGACTTCCAGGAACAGCACTTACAATCGATTTTCTGGGCAAGTTTGGGGCTACCTTATGTGCAGCAGTTCAATTACAGTCAAACAGGAAGTGGCTATCAGGAGGAAAGTCCCCACAGTTACACGGAATCTCATCGAAGAGATTGGTGTGACATTCTGGAGTGCTCTCCACGAGGGAGACCAACAGCAGCCAGAGTGACGATGATGTCCTTTTCTGAGGACTTAGTAAGAATACTTTAGACATTTATATTTAAGCTAAGGGAAGTTTCAGTCAAACTTCATCTAAATACCAGATTCAACCACAGGAGCTCAGAGAGAAACAAGGTAATTAAATCTGACACAAAAATTCAAGACCTTACTAGCCCATCCAAGTAGTTATTAATTTAATAAATTCATCATGCAAAACTATTCATGTGAATTGCAGACTGTAGCCGTAATGGGATCTTAATCGTTTTTAAATAATGTTTCCTGGCACAGTCTGGCAGAGTTTGATTTGATAAACGCCACCTTTCTAGGCACTTGTTCTTATTTCTTCTTTGATAAAATGAATGTACAGGATTTATGGACCATGTCACACATGTACTTCGTGTAAAAATTCCCTTTCCGAAGCAAACGCTGAGCTATGAGACCCTTCATCATGTGACTTTATGTCACAATCTTACCTTGACTGTTTTCATAGTAAATCTGCTCGCTGGCCTGAAAAACACACGGAGAAGCCATTAGAACTTTAGCCTTACAACGCTGCTTGCCAGCCCGGCTGCATGCATGGAGGCCAGCCCGGGTAGCATGCATGGAGGCCAGCCCGGCTGCATGCATGGAGGCCAGCCCGGCTGCATGCATGGAGGCCAGCCCGGCTGCATGCATGGAGGCCAGCCCGGGTAGCATGCATGGAGGCATGATGTCGCTTGTCTGCAGCCAGGGCTGTCTTGATTCTTACTGTGACTCGCCCGGGGTTTCACTCAAAGTGACAGTGCTGACATTCAGGTAAAGTGATTCTCACCCTTGAGTCAGCTAACTGTTGACATGGGTGGAGATCTCAGAGTCTTGGAAAGATTTCCTTAAAGCCAAAGGTACTGAAATTCCATCTCTGCCATTGTGGTTGCCAGCCACGAAAGACACTTTGGGAATTGAGGGACTTGCGTGTGGCACAGTTCCTGAGTGACATCTAAGTACTGGCTAACAAACCATTTGTGGGTGTCAGTTAAGGAGGAAAAAATCCATTCCCTTAGTGCATTTGAGGGCAGTTGTCAGTGAGCTTATGGGGGGAAACTGGGCTTTCTTATCTCTGGGCGTTATTAGTCCCCTTAACACACACACGCTTTATCTCATCAGCCATCTCTGTGCTGGGCCCAGTGTGACGCTTTATACTGAAGAGTTGAAAATTGTCCCGAAATTACCCTTTCAAATCCTTCATGCATGTAAGTGTCTCCTCCTGGCAGAACTTTCTGCAGTTCTTCTAGGCCTTGTCGGATCTGTTCCCTGAAACCCAAAAGTATCTTGTTAGTCTCATGAGAGTATTTCTCCTTGCTGCTGACAGCACAGGCACCGGTTTGCTTTCCATGCACATGCTGGGTTGCTCCAATAGCTCCCACAGCACAGGCACCGGTTTGCTTTCCGCGCACATGCTGGGTTGCTCCAATAGCTCCCACAGCACAGGCACCGGTTTGCTTTCCGCGCACATGCTGGGTTGCTCCAATAGCTCCCCGAACCCTCCAGTCGGCATTACCCTTCCGGAGTCAGTCGCGGCTAGGGAAGGATGAGTTAGACTTCATCAACGGGAGGACCCTTTCACAAGGATCTCCCCTGGCTTTTAAGATGTCCCTCTTTGGAAACACAGACAAAGCTCTCTATCAACACTGGAAATCAACCTTAAAATGTTCCTGCTCCTAACGGGACACAGTCACACAGGTGGAGGCACAGATGGCTTCTGTGAGCCAGGGAGGGATGAGCACTGAGAAAGAAGGGGAAACCAGAAGAGGCCACCTTAAGATGCAGCTGGGAGGAATCCGAGCAAACGCTGCCAAAGGAAACCGCGCAGTCAGCTTTGAGAGCAAAAAGGAACATGGAATCTATACTTCCCAATCAGGCAGGAGCGATTGGTGGCTGACACCTGCGTGCTGTTCCTTTGTTTGGGCAAGGTGACTGACGGTGGGGGAAGGAAGAGGAAGTGAGACAGAGGATGGGAGAGAGCTGGAGTGGCATCCAGAGCCTCAGAGTCTCGCAGACTGCTCACGCGGGACGGTAAGAAACCCATTCACGTTCCTAGCTCTGCAGTGGAACCGCGCTATGCCAAAGCCTCTGAGCCCTAACCCCATTCCTGTACCTGTGAGAGGGTAAATCAGGAAGAAAGAGCCTTCAGGTCAGAAGAGACTAACATTCTGGGGGAACATGAGAAGCTAACCCCACTCACAGATGCCGATCTTGCCTCCTGATAACCTCTCCGTGTGGGTGCTGCTGTCCCTGCAGCACAGAGATAAAGAGGGCAAGAGGGGAGCAGAGACTGGGAGCCGAAGCTGCTGCCTCTGCGCATCCCGGCTCAGAGTTCCACAGACAGGCTCTGCTGAGGACGGGCGGTATGATGTTCCCACACACTCAAGCCTGTGGTGGCTCTTCAATTCCACAGCTACGACCCTGAATCACAAAAAGCCCCAGAAGCCTGTTCAAGGCCTCATGACTAGCCAGTGCCAGGGGTGAGATAGGAGCCTGGAGTCCTATGATTAGGGGCACTGGGAAGCTTTTTCTTGAATGGGTGAGCCAATGAATGGAACACAGCTGTTTATCCCAACAATTGTTCGGGTAGAAATTCTAATGATAAACACCAATTCTGAATAAAAATGGATATGACAGGAGGCTTGCTGGGGAAAGGGGGAGGGGAACATTGTAATGGCACACAGGAAGAGCCCGGCACAAGTCCCCGCTGTTGCTGCTTTCAGGTAGACGACTCAACACCATGTCACTCAAACTTTAGGGAAAGTGCGGACATCTGGCTGCCCCATCAGAACCCAGCCGCACAAGGCAGCCTCAGGAAGTGGAAACCTATCTGGACCTCTGCCTGAATCATCAGCAAAATATCTGGAAATGGATCCACACCCAACCCAGACAGCGCCGGGGCTGCAGCACCATCTGACCTTGCTTGCAAAGGCCTCTGGAATAACACCTGCCCCTCCACTTCCACTCACTCTGTGTGAGGTTGCCAGAGGCTTCTTAAAATGGAGATTAAATCACACCATTCTTGCCTCTGCTCAAGACCCTCCCGAATCAAGTCCCTGTACCCGAGGAGCCTCCCTTGTCTTTGTGGTGCACACCTGTAGGTGTGGCCACTGCCTCCCTGTCCAGTCTCTTCTTTCCCTTGCCTGCTTCCACTACCCCAGCCTCAGCTGCACTGGTCTTCTTGGGTTCCTGGCTTTGAGAGACCCTCTGCATCAGTAACTCCTGTAGCCTGACCTTTTCCTAAACCGGGTCTGTTTGGGTCCCTGCTATTCTTCTAGGTCTTGTGGCTGGAATTTGACAGACATTCAACAGCTTCCTGTGAAGTGGGTGGAGGAGCAGGTACCACCGTCAGTCATCTTGGAAAGAGTGGGACCTTACTTGGCCATGTGGAAGAAGGCCAGGCTGAAGTGGGGCCTGGTCACTGGCCCTAGCCATTTTTTGTGCTGTGATTTTTTTTCCATCATATCCAATATCTCAATGGTCCATCAAAAGGCATGATTTCAACTGTGTTGTTTGGTTTTTTGATGAGAAATAGAAAAATAATGCATGTTTTAGTAAAATAGATAAAGACAAGAATGGTGTTTCCCAACAAGGCCACCAGAGGTGCAGGGATGGGACAGGTACTGAAAGACCTGGATAAATCCAGACCTCCCCAGCAGGAAGAAAATAGCCAAAAATCCAAGCAGGAAGAGAAGAATCAAAAACCTAGGATTAGCTGGTTCAGTGACTGTGTTTCAGGAACTAGCTGAAGATAAAGTTAGATTGTAATCTTGAGAAACAGGGAGTTTTCCCCTTGTGATTTTAGGAACTAGCTGATTATGACCTTGAGTGATCTTGAGAGGCAGGGAGTTGTCCCCTTGTGACTTTCTGTGACACCCTCCCTGCCCCTTTCGGATTATTGGGCTGTGGTTTCTTCCTATAAAAACCCCTTCTCCAGGTCACCTGGCCCCAGTGCAGTGGTTCCCGTCTCATCTCATCAATTAAAGCCTCGTGTGATTGCAGCAAGGACCGTCTCTCAGGAGTTACTGGGGGGGGGGGGGGGCGGTCATGTTATCCCGAGACTTGAGTGAGAGTCTCCCCACACCGGGGGTCTTTCAGTACCAGTTGTCACCTGGCAGAGCTTTGTCCTATGGATTAGGACAAACTCATTTGTTCATGAGTTCCCAGCAGCAGAGTCTGTTCCTGAGCTTTGAGAGATAGCAGTCCCAGGATCCTTCAAAATAGCTGAGAGGAGGGGCAGCCATGGGGATGAAGACTATTCTCTGAAAATTAGATTGGGTGTTAAAAGTAAATATACAATCCTAAAATACACAAGCAGGAAATATTCTGGGAGTCTAAAGCAGTACTGAGCAAAAAAACAAACAAACAAAAAAACAAAAACAAAAAAACAAAGCTGGAAGACTACAATACTTGACCTCAAACTACACTACAGAGCCACAGTGACAAATACATATAGACCAGTAGAATACACTAGAAAATTCAGAAATAAACCCTCATTGCTACAGTCACCTATTTCTTGACTGTATTAAAACAAACAAACAAACAAACAGCAACAAAACCCCCATACATTGGAGGACTATAGAAATGGCTCACTGGTTAAGAGTTCGGAGTTTAGTTTCTCAGCTCTAACACCAGGCAGCTCACAATATAACTATATAATATAACAGCTCATAGGAATCTAATGTCCCCATCTAGCCTCTGAGGATGCCTGAATTCATGTGTACATAGCCCCTCTCACTTATATATAATTAAAAAGAAAATAAATCTTAAATATGCATTGGAGACCGAAGACGGCCTCTTCACAAATGGTGTCGGAATGGGTTAGAAGGATGCCACATGATCCCTACCCCTTTCCCGGTACATAAATCAACCCCAAATGGGGCACTGACTTAATTGTAGTACCTGAAACTCTGAAATTACCAGAGGAAGAGGCGAAAACTTCAGCATAAGCCTAACAGAGACAGTGTGAAATGGGCTTCTGCATCTCAGGAAATAATAGCAAGAATTGGCTAATGAGGTTGTATTAAACTAAAAATCTCCCCAGCAAAGGAAACCATGGACCAAAGAGAAAGCCTATGAGTGGGAGAAGAGATGAACATGCAGAATCTGTAAAGAACAGTAACAGCAAAACACCCAAAGAACAAATAATTCAGTCTACCAACAGGCAAATGACTTTACAAACGGAGAAACACAGAAGGCCAAGACATACTCGAAACAACGTCCAACACCCTCAGCCACTGGGGAAAATGACATTACACTGAGATTCCATCTCACCACAGACAGAATGGTTATCTCCAAGAAAATGAGGAATGCAGGGAGGATGTGGGAAAGAGGAGCCGGTCTTCAGTGGTGTGGGACTTTAACTGCTGAAGCCACCATGGAAATCAGTACAGAGTTCTCTCAAAGCTGCAAAGGCCTGCCAGTGACAAAGCTGCTCCATTCCTAGGCAACACCTGAAGGAGTCCAGTCAGCCTGCGACAGGGGTAGGTGCACGGCCATGCTACGGCTGCACCATTCATGATGTCCAGGACAGGGAACCAGTCCAGATGTCCACCAAGAGATGCATGTACATAAAAGATGCGGTGCATATATGCAAACATAAAGAATGGATATCATGACCCAGAAAATGGACTAAAGTAGAGATTATAATGGTAGGTGAAACAAGCTAGTTTCAGAAAGATAAACAGTGCATGTGTTCAATCCTATGTGGAAGTTGGAGGAAAAAAAAAATGAACCCAGTACAATGCGGGGGGTTAGGGCTGTGGAAGGGGGGAAGGGATAGGGAGACCAGAAAGCACAATAGAAGGGACATATGCCTAAGCTGGGCTGCGTGTAAGCTAGAAAATCTCCGAAGAAACTCGTCACTTTAAACTTAATAAATGCTAGCGGGACAGTAAAGGTGACCTTGTACTTTGGTCATGGATTAGTAAAGCTTGGAATATTCTTGGTAGCACTAAAGCTGGAATATTACGTTAACACCGAGCTTTAAAAAAGAAAGTTTAAAAAATAGCATGTTGGGGGCATGGAAAATGTTCCTTGGCTTTACTGTATTCTTCTTCTGCCAAATAAAGTATGGGAACAGGGGACTTTTTCTTCTAGGCCCATTTCTTTTCTTTTACAAAGATTTTCTTAAGCTATTGCTCTCAGCATCTCTCTCTCTCTCTCTGTATTTCTCTCTCTCTTTCTCTGTCTGTCTGTCTCTTCCTCCCTTTGTCTCTAGAAATGTCTCTCATACACTGGCTTTTTTTAACTGGTCACCTGCTTTGTTG